ATCATACAGTTAGGTATTAAATGTTAATATTTTTTAAATAGAAATTCAAATTTTGATTTGGAACAAAAAGGGATGAGAGGAAGGAAAATTGTTTTGTTGGAAAAATTGAGGGGGGAAAAGAAAATTTTCTCTCAATATTATTTATAAAATGTCCAATAAATTACACTGTTTGAGAGTAAAAATATTAGATTATTTATAAATCATAAATAATGTAATTTATACTAATCTACAGCAAACATTATAGTGATCTTAATTATTGAAAGCATCATTTACCAGCGTTGCTTCATTATTCTCTTTCACCAAATAATGATAATGACAGGGTGTACAAAAATGCTTTTAAGCTTTTCTTTGACACTTTTTCTTTTGCTCTTTTTGAAAGAATCTTGAGAGCCAATCCATGCCTTATCATAAAGTATGACGCACCTTAACATATAAAGTCTCCAGAATTATTTTGCAAAATGATTGTTCCTATAAGGAAATCATGATATTCTATGTATGTGATAGCGTCACAAAATAGCGATCTAAAAGCATGTTTGGATTACTTTATAACCTAAAATAGGATGAATTAATTGAGATTAAGATGAGAAAACTTTAAAAAATTTGTTTGGATTATAAAAAAAAAAAAATCAACTTCAATTAGGTTTTGAGTGAGTTTTTTCACCAAAGTCAGGATTTCTGACTTTTATATTCACGTTGGCTTCTGCATTAATTCGTTGATTTATACTTTCTTTCTCTTCTCTTCGATTTTGAATATTTAAGATTTTTCATTTATTAAATGTAATTTTAAGTTTAATATTTTGTAGTTATTAATTAGTGAAAAAATATAAAAAAAATCATACTTATTTTTGCCATTAAAAAACTTATTTGGATTATTAAAAAATTTCAACTTCAATTAGGTTTTAAATGAGCTTCTTCACCAAAGCCAAGATTTCTGGCTTTTGCATTCACATTGACTTCTATATTGATCTATTGGCTTATGTTGTCTCTCTCTTCTCTTCTATCTTGAATATTTAAGATTTTTCACCTATTAGTTGTAATTTTAAGTTTAATATTTTTTAGTTATTAATTAGTCAAAAAATATACAAAAAAATTTATGCTTATTTTTTTATTAAACATCTCAACTGGCTTTTAAATAAAATTATCTAAATAAATTTTAATTTATCTAAATGACTTCTAAAAAAAAGAATATTCAAATATAAATCACATTATATTTACTAACTTTTTTCAACCTCAATAGTAAATTTTTCAATCCAAACATACACTAATTCTATGAAAATTATTTGTTTGGTTAAAATGAGAAAGAAACGTTGGGCAAAAAAATGGGGAAGAAACAAAATGTCATTATCCATAGAGTTGAAAAAACGGGCCGAGCCCGTCAGACTAGCCCATTTAAGCCTATACAACAATAGGGCCAAGCTTATAAATAAGACTCCAAAATGATAAATTGGGCTTAAACGAGCTAACCCGTTTAAGCTCGTTTAATCTAGGGCTTAAATGGGTCGGCCCTCACAGAGCCGGCTTGTTTAAGCCCGCATATGCATATTTTTTTAATTAATTCTCATAATTTTTGCTCTTTTTAGATTTGAACAAAAAATAAACTAAATCTTACTCCACATCACATATCAGCCCATATTTATTGAGGATGGAAGGCAAAAAAAAATAGCAATGAAGAATCACCAATAAAAAATTATATTAGTTAAGGATCACTTGTTGTCAAAATCCAAGTAGATACTTGTGAATTCAGATTATTCTTTATCAATAAGTATTCATTTAAGTTTTAATAACAACTCATTTTAAATTAACAATAGTTCATTGTAGCTTATTTTTCATTCAGGTTTTGACAACAATTGATTCTTAATTAATATAAATTTCATACAGAAATCCTTGACTGCTATTTTTTTTAAAAAAATACAACCTTCAATTCCCTAATTCATCTAGATCCATGATAATGATTCATTAAATTCAACATTTACTCTTCTAATTTTGATTGGATGTTTGTCGACTTAGTCGATCCATTGCTTATTGCAGTGCTATTATTTTATTTGTATTTTTAGTTCATTTAGATGTTATTTAGTTAGTTTTTTTTAACCTTTCTTGATTGGATATTATATTATAATGAAGTAATTTTTTGTTTGATTAAAAAATTTTAAAAAAATAAAAATAGTTAAAAGGACCTAAAGCCCGTAGGGTCGACTCTAAGCCGTTATATCAAAGACTGAACTTCAAATATTAGGGTCTTAAAGGAAACTCAGGTCTAAAAAGGTTGGCCCTTTTAGGCCCGAGCCCTTTAAGGGTCGGCCCTACAGGGTTGGATTGGTTCCTGACGGAGAAAAGCTGATTAAATTTAATTTTAAAAAAAATATCTAACCAACAAGTTATGATTGGATTGAATAGAGACTGTTTGATTGATGTGAGTGATTAAACCTTTGTTGATAAAAAAATCATGACAAAGAATTACTTTCGATTAAACTGATAATACTTAAATTTGACAAAAATGGTACTAAATATTAGAAATTTGTGTTTAAAAGAAGAAGAAGAGGAAACTAGTAATATTGCACTTGACAATTTAAGAGTCTTAATATATTTTTTGAATAAAACTTGAAACAAACAAAACTAATCCTTTGCATTAAAATATGAGACTTGATCAATTTTTTTAATGAGGTTTGCTGGGTTTTATGTTTGTAACGAACAAATGTGGAGTCCAATATGATTTTAAAATAGCATTCAATGTGACATTTAAGTGCACGTTTAAATTTTAATTTATATCTATCAAAAAGTATATTTAAAAAATTTAATTATTTATTGAATTTGATAAAAACACATTTTAAATATAATTTGAATATATTTTTAAAAGTTATCTAACCAGGCTGCCAAAATTTGCATGGCTGATAAGGTAAAGTTAAGTCTTAGGTGGCATGCCAAGTGTCACCGAGTAATTAAAAGTCATTTCATCTAATAAAACTCTAAGCGTGCCTTTAATCCAACACAAGGTAAAAGAGTTAAATTCAAGATCTATTGCATGGAGTCGGAGACCTTAAATGAAAACAATCAACACAAAGAGTCAAGATTAATTAGCATCCATGACTATTTGTATATTTTAATTTTTTAATAGCGAATTTCCTAACAATCATCAAGTCTTTAAATAGTCTTCTTCTTTCTTTTATTGAATCTATCATTTGGACTATTTTGATAATGCAGCACTTAATTACTTGATAACTTGAATGTCATTTAGGGCATCACTTTTGCTTTTGAATAAATCGTTAATAATTTTTACATATAGATATTAGATTGCTTGCTCTCCTTTTTTTTTTCCCCTTCCTTTCATCATTTTTCCCGTTGCACAAATATTTTGTGATCAAATTTTGGTACTAATCTTTTTAGATTGGCATGCAAAGAGATTCACACTTCTAAATTAATATATCTTCTACTCTCATTCATATCACAATATGAAAAATGCTAATAACTATGTATGAGAATTTTTTTTTAAATTCACTACACCATCATTGATAAATAGTTATGAATATTTTTATATCCAAAATAAAATATCCAAATCTCATTATCAATGAACATTAGAATATGTAATTGTAAATAGCATAATTTATATTGGGTAAATAAGCAAATCACCCTCTAAACTTTAAGTCCAATAATATCATAGATTATAAACTCATTTATTGTTTTCTTCACTTTTGAAAATGATGTAATCTAACTTCTGTTATTAATAAATGTTCACTTTGATGGTTAGTTGATAAGAAGATGATAGAAAAAATATCAAAGAATTATACAAAATGACACAAAAACTTTTTGAATTATTTTCTGTAATTTTTTAGATATTTGTATGTATTTTTTGAATCTTTTATTTTAATTTTTTAGTTTTTAAATAATTTTCATATTATTTTTAAGTCAATTAATAACTAAAGTCAATATTTATTAACTGCTGGAAGTAAAAATTATTTTTCCTTTGGAAGTAAAACCACTTGTTCAGTGCACCAAAAAGTCTTTACCATTTTTGGACGTTAGGAAAAGTTATTCACAAGGATCAAATAAAAAAACTATTTGTTTTCAAGGACTTCGAATTTTTATATGTTTGAACAAACACCAGTAAATTTTTGTAATTTGAATTTTAAATAATCCAGTTTGGGCCCTTTTCTTAGATTTTAGGATTAGGGATAAATACTTCCTAAATTTGATCCTTGTGAATTTTTAAAAAAAATTAAACATCACATTTCTCTCATAATTAGGGAAGTAACTTTACAATACCAATCAGTCTAGTTCTACACTTCCGTAGTAGCAATTTTTTTTAATTTTTCTGTTATACCCATATTAATTTCATTAATTAATCAGATGTTTTTTTATATTGAATGGATGGATGGGTATATTGGTCTTTTTGGCTTTCACATTAAAAATAATATATTTATTTAAAAAATAATAATAACTTCCCATAAAATACAAAGTAAATCAAGCAAATTATATAAACTTTCTCGGAGTAAAGATGATGTTTATGGAGGATTAAATTAAGGATTTTATAAATACAGACGTATTTTGGATATATAAATGTGAAGACTGATATAATTATAATCCAACAAAATCAGTATTTTAAAATTAAATTGAAATGATACTGTTCATATTCATAATTCATGAATGTTGTGTTGTAATCTTGTTAAGAATAAATTCAATATTCAATATTATATATATATTGGATATGTTGGTGTCAATATAAAAAAATATATAGAATATTTAAAAAGATACTATATAACTACAAAAATCTTCTTTTGCTAATTCATAAAGATATTTAAATTTGAAAAAAGAAAATCGTCTCAATGTGATAGAGAAAATTAAAAAAGATACGAAATTCAGGTAAATTATAATATAATATAATTATAATTATAAATTTAATTATTATTGTTTTCCGAATTACATTTACATGTATCTCTATTTTGTTTTAATTTTTTATTTAATACTCTTACAGTTCCACAACTGCTCCTGCACGGTTTTCGCCTGCTTATAAATTCTTAAATGGTGCCTTCGCTCTCTCCGTTCCTTCTTCTTGTGTCTTACTTCCTCTCTCACTGCACTCTCTAGAGAGAGAGTTCGGCTCAGATCAGCCATGGCTTCTTCCTCCGACGACCGTGACAACTTATTCTTCATCGCCAAGTTATCCGAACAAACCGAGCGATATGATGGTCTGTCTCCATCTCCTCCTTCGCATGTTAGATTTTCATTCTTATCGTTCTTTCCACTTTTGAATTGAATTCTTGGTTGTTACTTTATCTTCTCGCTTGATGTTTTTTCTATTAAGTGAAGTTTGCTGTTATAATGTTTTATCCTTTGCTGCTAAATTATGTAATTTTTTTTTCCATCTCTTATTTGCCAATATTTGCTGCGAATAAGCTAAACCAAAAAAAAAAAAAAAACAAGAAGAAGAAGAAGCAACTATATTTTATCCCTTGGATTAACTCCCGTCATGTACTCTGGAAAAGTTCGGAAACGGTCTCATTCAACTTGGAGGTGTTTTGCACTTTTTATTATAGGACCAATGTATTGTATTAAATATTACATTTAAATTTTACGTATTAACGTTTTAATCAGGCCTTAGAAAGGGATTGAAAATTACCGGGAAAGAAGTATTCCCTCGCCTGAGAAAGAACAACTGAAGTGGTTTAATCAGTGTGGGGGTCTAAATGAATTTTTTTTTTTTTCCTGACAAGTTCAGTAACTGTTAAAACCTTCCTATTTCTTGTTTCTGATTTTGGCAGCTGTCCTTCCACAGGTTACATCTTTTTAATATTCAAATAAAACTTATTTCTACTTCCTTGCTTTTAGTTATCTTTGCACAAAAGATCACTTTAGAAGCTGGTCTTCTGTGTTATAACTAATCTGACAAGTTATAATTTCTTGAAGCATGTGGTGGATTCCGGTGCTCCCAACCTTGATGAGCATCGCTCCACAGTGCTGCAAGTTCTACAACGAAGTGTCAAAAGAGAAGCTTCGGAATATCATTTTAAGTTTGGAACAACGTAGTACAATTAGTTGATGGTGCGCCCCCTAATTAGATGAATCAAGTATCATGGACATTAACTTTTCAAAACTTTTGCAACCTTTTGAAGACGTGCATTGTAGAGAGACAGCTTTCAATCGGCAAGTCTCTCCATGCCCAATACATCAAGTCCCTCTTTCCATCTTCAACATATATCTCCAACCATTTCATTCACCTTTACTCCAAATGTGGTAAACTCTGCTCTGCTCGCCACGTTTTTGATTGCACTCTTCACCCCAATGTCTTCTCTTTCAATGCTATCATCTCAGCATATGCCAAAGAATCCCATGTTCATATTGCCCACCACTTGTTTGATCAAATCCCCCAGCCTGATCTTGTGTCTTATAACACTCTCATTTCTGCTTATGCCAATCGTGGTGACACAGAGCCTGCATTTTGCTTATTTGAGGGTATGCGGCATATGGGACTTGACTTGGATGGATTCACCCTCTCTGCTGTCATTACAGCTTCTAGCAATGATATTAATTTGATTAAGCAGTTACATTCCTTTGCAATATTGAGCGCCTTTGATTCTTATACTTCTGTTAACAATGTGCTTGTCACATATTATAGTAAGAATGGATTTTTAGATGATGCAAAGCGGTTGTTTTATGGAATGGGTGAAATCAGAGATGAGGTTTCTTGGAATTCAATGATTGTGGCATTTGGGCAGCACCGGGAAGGACACAAAGCACTGGCTCTGCTTCAGGATATGATTCGCCTAGGATTGAGCGTTGACATGTTCACTATAGCAAGTGTTTTGACTGCCTTTACATGTTTGGAGGATTCATTAGGAGGGCATCAGTTTCATGCCAAGTTAATCAAGAGTGGGTTTCATCAGAATGCTCATGTTGGGAGTGGATTAATTGATTTCTACTCTAAGTGTGGGGGAGGCATGTTAGATTGCAGGAAAGTTTTTGAAGAAATTCTTGCTCCAGATTTAGTTCTCTGGAACACAATGATTTCTGGATTTTCCCTGAATGAGAACTTGTCTGAAGATGCTCTTGCTTGCTTCCGGCAGATGCAGCGTGTTGGTTTTCGCCCAGATGACTGCAGTTTTGTCTGTGCAATAAGTGCATGCTCTAATTTATCATGCCCTTCTCAGGGAAAACAGATTCATGCATTGTCAATAAAATCTGACATCCCTTCTAATCGTATTTCAGTCAATAATGCTCTTGTTGCAATGTACTCTAAATGTGGGAATCTTCTAGACGCAAGAAGGTTATTTGATAGGATGCCAGAACATAATGCAGTATCACTAAATTCAATGATAGCAGGTTATGCACAACACGGTGTTGAGGTAGAATCACTGCATCTTTTTGAACTGATGCTGCAAAAGAATTTTGCCCCTACTAGCATAACCTTCATATCCATTCTTTCTGCATGTGCACACACTGGAAAAGTTGAGGAAGGTAAAAAATATTTTAATATGATGAAAGAAAAGTTTGGTATTGAGCCAGAAGCAGAGCATTTTTCCTGCATGATAGATCTTCTAGGACGAGCTGGAAAACTCAGTGAAGCTGAGAGGATTATGGAGACAATGCCATTTAATCCTGGTTCCATTGAATGGGGTACTTTACTAGGTGCCTGTAGAAAGCATGGCAACATGGAATTGGCGGTAAAAGCAGCCAATCAATTCCTCCTTCTTGACCCTTGTCATGCTACTCCATATGTCATGCTTTCAAATATGTATGCTAGTGCAGGCAGATGGGAAGAGGCTGCAAGTATTAAAAGGTTGATGCGGGCTAGAGGTGTGAAAAAGACACCAGGTTGTAGTTGGATTGAGCTGGATAAGAGGATGCATGTGTTTGTGGCTGAGGACACCTCACATCCGAAGATAAGGGAGATTCATGAGTATTTGGCTGAGATGTTAAAGAAGATAAAGAGAGCAGGATATGTGCCAGATGTGAAATGGGCATTGGTGAAAGATGAAGAGAACGGGGTAGAAGAGAAAGAAAGAAGGTTGATGCATCATAGCGAGAAGCTGGCAGTTGCATTTGGGCTGATTGCAACCAGAGAAGGGACCCCAATACTTGTTGTGAAGAATTTGAGAATTTGTGGTGATTGCCACAACGCCATCAAAAGTATTTCTGCTGTTACCCATAGAGAAATCACTGTTAGAGATGCTTACAGGTTTCATTGCTTCACAGAAGGATTGTGTTCTTGTGGTGATTATTGGTGATAACCAAAAATGCTTTTCTTTTCCTTGTTGCCACTAGAACAAAGAATGCTACTTCTGAGTGAACATAAGCTCTTGGCTGTATGCTTAAACCCCAGCAGGACATAGGCATAATTGAGAAATCTACCTTATGTCAGAACTGATCTGAAAGTATGTATTACATGCTAAACAGAATTCAAGTGGATGCACAGCCTCCACTAAATCTGTTATCTGTCTCGTCAAAATGGAAGATGCATCCCAATATTGACTGCAAATCCTATGGAAAACTGGGGTTAACAATCCCATGACATCAGAAAAAGTGCAAGAGGTCAAACCAAGTACGATTGACTTGTTTTTAATGCTAGTACGGTGTCAATCTGTCTTTGAGAGGACACAACAAATTAGCCTTCTATGCACAAATTCACAATTCATCTCTCATTATTATCAAAATGACATTGTTCATCCTTGTTCCTTAATTGAATATTTCATTAACATGGATAAAATCACAATATTTTTTTTTTGCAACTAGTCCTTGTTCTTCAATCAAATATTATCGAAAAAAGATACTAATTGCCAAACTATATGGCACTAAAACTCAAAACACTCTTACAACTAATGCTGGAAAAGGAAAAATGAAGCAGTTTTATCGTTGTGGGTATGTAGCAGTGAATACTTTACAGGTTTGTTGGATTGAATTAAATATGCTTTTGCTTGGCTTCTTGATTGAAAACTGTTAGATGCTGAAGTGATCTAGGCACGTTGGTGTGTGCAGAAGTGGTAGATACCATGAAAAAAGTGGCCAAGCTGGACGTTGAGTTGAGTGTGGAAGAGAGAAACTTATTCTCTGTTGGGTACAAAAATGTAGTTGGAGCCAGGAGGACGTCATGGAGGATCTTGTCATCATTAGCGCAGAATGAGGAATCAAAGGGGAATGAGCAGAGTGCAAAGCTTATCAGGGATTACATGTGCAAAGTGGAGTCAGAGATTTCCAACATTTGCAGTGACATTATGATACTACTGGATGAGCATCTTATCCCATCCACTAATGTTGCAGAATCATCTGTGTTCTACTATAAGATGTATGCTTTGTTTTCTCATGCTGTTGCCTTTGAATTTTTAATTACAATACATTGTTTCACTGATTTTGACTTTTGGATTTGGTGCAGGAAAGGAGATTACTATCGGTATTTGGCAGAGTTCAGATCTGGTGATGAGAAGAAAGATGCAGCAGATCAGTCACTCAAGGCATATCAGGTACTCAACCTTTAAATTTTTGGCATTATTTTTAGATATCTTTTTCAATATGACAAGGATCAGCTCTTTGTAAAATGTGTGTGCTCTACTATGTTATGAATGGATCTTCCTCGCTGCTGTTGCTATGCTCAGTATGTATTACTTCTGTTTGCACAAAGTTTAGGTGATGTTTATTAATTGAAACCAGTAAAAGGTCACCTTTCTTGACTCTATAGTACTCTGTGAAGGATGGTTCTGTTTAATTGTAACCCATACAACGTTTCTACTCAACGTTCTTTAAGGTGAACATCTTCATGATATATATTTTAATAGGATCTGTTGATCAACAATCTCATGAAATGTTTTTGTGCTGTCATGTCATTCCCATTTTTTTATTTATACATTGGGAATATTCAAACTCTTGACCTCAATTCACATCTCACTCCACTTATACCACCTGAGCTAGCCTCAAGAGGCTCATTTCTAGTCAGTATGGGGCTTGAATTTTCCTCAGAATTTGTGTCCATCCATTTTCTCAACTCTAATAAGACTAAACGGGTGGTAAAATTGTGATAAAAGGAAAAAAGGGAATTCTCCATTTTTTTCTTCTTGTGTTTCATGAGCATTTGTTGTGGCCGGTTCCAACTTACTTTTCTTTTTTTCCTCTGTCCAGCAATGCCCTTCATTAGATCCTCGAGAATCATTCACTTCCATTCTATGACCAGATTTTTCTAACAAGTTGACTGATTAATATGACACCTCCGGGGATGTATTGAAGAAGATTTTGTCATTTCTTTTCTCTCTCTTCCCCCACTCCCCCTGGGGGTTTTTCCTGCACCGGTAGCATGAATTTGAGGAATCTTTTCCCCTTCAGGAAACGTAAAAGTATTTGTTCCTTTATTTTTTTTTTTTTCATTAATGATCTAGTTTCAGCTCCAGGATATGACAAGATTTATAAGTTTGCTGACTCCTTTAGCTTGACTACGCCACAAGTTCCGGGCCCTGGTCTCATGTGTCTTTTATTATTTGCTAGTGGTGACTTTAGCATGTTTAGCCTGAATAATTTGGGGTATAGATGCTAAATTTCGCCCTTTTCTATGTTCTCTCAAAATGACTTTTTTGGAGTACAGTTGTGTAATCTGGAAGGCACTATTGTCAAATTTTTAATCAACGGATAGTTAGTATCCTCCTACTTCTTGAACAAATTCAATAAAGTTGACCTTAATCTTAAGGTCATATAATTGGAAATGAATCCAGATAATCAATAAAAAATAAATAAAGGAACAAAAACTTTTATGTTTCCTTAGGGGAAAAGATTCCTCAAATTCATACTAAACAGCCTTATGTTGAAAATTCAAAGTATATCTTCTCTGTGAATGATATATTTCTTTTCCTGTCAGAATTTTATATGTTCAAAGTCTATGTACTATTGTTACTTATAATCGTGATCAGCTGTATTAGGGCCTTGAATTTTACATTAAGACTTGTGTGGCTTTTTTTTATGCTCTTACACCATGGTCTTACAACATTTACAAAATGGTCAAAAATCACTTAAGATGGTTTGGACATGCATGAAGAAGATCACAGGAAACACCAGTGAGGAGAGTGAAATGAATAACTTTAAGCTCTATTAAGAGGGGTAGAGGAAGGCTAAAGAGAACACTTTTAAAAATGTTGACTTAGATCTCTTAGTTAACAATATTTTTAAAAGCTTGGTATATGATAGATTACAATAGCATCATACAATCCATGTAGTTAACCCCCCCTAATGGGATAAGGTTGGTTGTTGTTGTTGTTGTTGTTGTTGTACACCATGGTCTTACAAGTTATTCTTATTGTTAGATAATATTTCTCACAAATTCAAGCTCTGGACGATATAACTTTGGATGTTTAATTTTTTGCAGACGGCAGCTAGCTCTGCTGAGGCCGAGTTATCTGCTACACATCCCATTCGGTTGGGTCTGGCTCTAAATTTCTCGGTGTTTTATTATGAGATAATGAATTCGCCTGAAAGGTATGCAGAAATATTGTTTGAATTTACCAGTATGAAGGATTAATAGGGAAAATCTTTCTCCTCATACTTCTTATTTTTCAGGGCTTGCAATCTTGCAAGGCAAGCTTTTGATGATGCGTGTACAGAGCTGGATGCCCATGATGAGGAATTGTACAAGGATAGTAGAATGATTTTGCAACTGTTGAGAGAGAACTGTGATTTATGGACTTCTGATGTGCAAGAAGGTGATGGTACAATCTCCATTCTTTTGTCATGCAATCTGCATTTTCATGAAGCAACATTTCTATGATTTACATTATTTTTTTATAGAAAAAGAATTTAATTGATGAGAAAGAGAAAATAACGCAAAAACAGAGGACAAGTAACTCTGTCAAATGCATGAACTTGAGACTAAAGAATAATCTTGAAGAAGAGCTTTTCAAATTTCAAGATAAAAAGTATAAACTTCAAGATAATAAAGATTTCCTGGTCCAATGATCCTAACTAGGCCAAATCCAAGTTCCATTACCAACTTGAAGAAAAATCATCAGTGTGTGTCTGTGTGTCTATATAATATATAAAAAGCTACACCATTCATAAATCATGAACAATGTGGTCCATAACTTAAACCCCATGCAATAAACAGGGGCCACATGTAGTTGGAGGGGAAAAATGATGACATTCCTGAAACATGAACTTCCAGGGGTTCCATTTGTAACCCCAATTTTAGAGAGGTTAATACAGAGACTAGACTCAACTCTGATAACCTGTAACATTCAAAGCACGTTCTGAAAATTTTCCCTCACCAATTAGTACAGAGAGGTTATTGTTATGCTTGTTTGTGACACAGGAGGCCATAAGGTGGAAAGTTAGCGGTGGTGCAGGGCAAGATTAGGTGGGTCAGTCTTCTTTCATAACTATATGATAATGATAGGTTAACTAACAAGTGAATTTTTCTCACACCAACGTATTTTTTCTTCAATGCAGTGAAGAAGCCCTTATATGGATGGTGCAACTTCGTCGACTTTGGTTTTAGTCTTAATAAAAGCATTGGATTGAAATCCTCTTCATTTATTTTTCCCTTTTCTCATCATTTTCTTTTCTTTCTGTTTGTTTTCAGCTATTGTTGGCCACTTTTTTAATTGTTTCTCGAACAAGTAACACCGGATTGTTATGCATGATTCTACTTTGACTTACAGATTTGGTTTAACATCTCTCTTATATTTTTTCAATTAACTTTGAAAGTTTGTCTCTTCCTATGAGGCTATAAGCATGTGTGTCCCCACTCAATTGGTAGGGATTTGATGTTTCAAGGCCACGGTTTTAGTTTAAACTGATGAAAAAGAAGGAACTTAAGCCTAAGAACCTAATCATCTAATCCAATGCACCTTTTTTGTTGGTAAAAAGACAATTTAACTTAATCAAAGTCCGAGAGTTCATGGAGGTGGCCAGTTCCTAAAAAGCTGCATTGGAGAAGTGGGATTAAGATAGTTTAATTATTTTTTTAATATTTTAATTTATATCTTCTCTATATTAAAATTTTTTATAACTCAACTTATATATATATTTTAAATTAAATTGAATTCATTAGAATTATCCATCCTCTCCATTTTTGTCCAACCTAACAGGGATTGAAGTTTTTGTTACCAGTTGAAATGTGATAGAAACGCGAACGGAATTTTGACAACTTATTTTTACATATTCTCAACCCAAAAAAAAAAAATAATTTGTTTGATTTGTAGTTGTGTTTTCCCTTAGTTAACTGAATATAGAAAATAAAGACCTCTAAATTTGGGATTCTTCTCGTTTGAGGGAAGATAAGCTGCACGTCAAACAAAATGTGAAGGAAAATTGATCAAATACAAACCACTCCCTATCCCCTCAAAGATAGTTAACCCTATATTTACCATATGAGGGAGATAAAAACTGAACATCAATCAAACCTCTTTGTTTGCTTCAACTCTATTTAAGGATGAGAATGATCCTTGTGTATCAGCTGCGAAGGGCTGAAACATTTTAACCTAAAGAACCAAAATGGGAAAGCCATCTTCTTTGGTCACTCTCATTGTTTCAACCCTTTGCTTCTCAGCCCTTTTAGAGTTTGCTCATGGTGATAATGGCACTTACAATATTCAAGGAAGGATTTATTGCGACCCATGTCGCTTCCAACAAGAGACCAGATCTAGCATTCCTTTGAAAGGTAGCATTCCTGACAAAAATTTTCAATGTACATAATTGTAAATAATATGATTTATTTAAAAGGAACTAATCCCTCACAACATGATAAATTAATATTTGAATGCTTAACATGTCTCAAACAAGATTGTCTCCAATAAAGTAATACTTATGGGTAAAAAAAAAAAAATATGATTCATTTCTCATATTTGGTGTGATATAGGAGTAACCATCCCTAATTTCATCATGATCATAAAAAGTTCTAGATGACATCTCTCTCTTTTATTTTCTTTAATGGTGTTCAAAGTACACCTTAATTAATTAATCTGTCTTCTCAAACTAAATGATTTTAATGATATTCTTATAAAACTAAATGATATTCTTTACAAATGATTTTAATGATATTATTATAAAAAATGTTAAAATAAACTATCAATCAAGATTTAGTTCAATTTGTCTAAAATCAAGAACAATCTCACATCTCAAAATGATATGGGTTTAGATTTTGATGATAAATAATAAATAAATATTTGGGCGCGATCATACCAATACAAATATACCAGATCCTATCAAACTTCACAATTAAACATACTTGGATGAGGATAGTATTGGGATGGGATAACTTTTTGAGAAGTTCTCATGTTGCACCTCTAATAAATAAATATTTCTATATTATTTGAATTAAAATGTCTACCCAAGTTCTCATGACCTTGGGACCTAACTCTGCCAAGAGAATCTATGGCATGCAATTAATGACACTTTGTTTTATATACACATTTATGCAGGCGTTAAGGTGATTTTGCAATGCAAAACATCAGAAGAAGGCAACATGACATATACCAACACTGGATTAACGGATCAAAATGGCGTATACACTATTCCAATGAATGACAATCATGAGAATAATTATTGTGAGATATCAACTGATCAGACTACTCACCCAAGTTGTACTGAGACAGTGGCTGCTAAGGGTGATAGAGTTACGCTGATAAACACGAATGTCTTATCATTTTCAACTCGTTTCGTCAGACCCTTGGGGTTCATGTCCAAAGAATACGACCCTCGATGTGCCCTCATGGTTAAAGAATATGATATATTCAACATTAAGGTTGATGATTGAGTTTGGAGAGGTTATTAATTAATTGGAATGTGAGTTGGTAATTTATTTTGCCAATGAGTTTGCCATATTCAATAAATGATTGTCACCATGAGCCTCTCATGCTTATGATATAGCTGTGGTTAATGAACGGAAGGGTTAAATTGAAAATAAAACATGAAAGGAGGGGTGCAAAATTAATTTTTAATATTTTTTACAAGTAAAAATTCTGATTTTTTTAAAGGACAATTGAAACCCTTGTCCCCTCTTGACTTGTCTCTAACAAATGGCTATGGTCATTTAATTTTAAAAACCAACATAGTTTGTGTTTCAGCAATGAATACTAAAAGAATTTTAATAACAATAACTATTTGTTCTCTAAGAGACAGTAGAGAATAGAATTCACATGAGATAGAATTAAAAGTGAAGTATTTGTTAATTTTGTTCCATAAAAATAAAATCAATTAAAATCACAAAAAGTTGAAGAAAAATTTGTGAAGATTCTTTAAAGTTTTTATTTTAAATTTTTGTGTGTGACTATTTTTTACTTTTTCTCCTCTTTCTTTTCTTTCTCTGAATTCTGTAATTGCAATATGGAATGACACGTGAATAAAAATAAATAAATCAATAAGCTAGACACACATGAAACTACATCAAACTTCAAAATTAAATAAATAATAGTTGGATTGAATGGAAGAGACTCAATTTCTATTAAGTTATAATGTCAAAGGTTTAATTCTTGTGTTTTTTTGGCCAAAAAAAAATTCTTGTGGGTGGGAAAAAATCATGTTAGGAAAGCTATTCCTAATTACATTTGACAATATTTAAATACTACCCAATAATATGAAATACTTCCTCCATCTTAAATTATAAGACACTTTTAATAAAGACTTAACCTTATAAAATATAAGATACTTTGATAAAAAATAAAGTTTTATTAATAATATTTTTTTTAATATTACCCTTCTCATATACTCTCTCTCTTTAATATTCTTTCATTGATTGAGCATTAAATAAAGGGCATTTTTAAAAGTTCATATTTTTGTCTTGAAAAGGTAAAATTGTAAAGTGTATTTAATGAGTTTTATTGGTATGTGAGATTTTATCTAAATGTGTCTTATAATTTAAAATGAAGGGAGTACTAAATAATGGTGTATAAAAAAAGAGTGAATCAATGTAATGGCTCTTTTTTCAAAAGAAAAACATAAAAAGATAATGAAGTAGATGACTGTGAATATCAGCATTCAAAAGGAAAAGATTCATTCCACAAAAAATATTGATAATGCTAACCTCTGCAGACATCAATAATTATAATCGTGTCAATTCACTTTAAAATTGTTCCATAATTATATCCACATCCCTTTTCCCTATTGATTATTCATTAGAATTGGAAAGTTCTACATTTTATTTTAATTAGTTTTCAGTTTTAGTTAACTCAATGTTCTTGACATTAAAAGGCAATGCAAATTCACCAAAAAAATGCAATTAAATTCTTCAGTCTTGATCATTGAGGTAACAGGTCCAAGAATGAAGAATACACAACAATGACAACAACACACCTGATCTCACAACTAGCATTGTGTGTGTGTGTGTGTGTGATGAAGAATACACAACAATGATAACAACACACCTGATCTCATAACTAGCATTGTGTGTGTGTGTGAGAGAGAGACCCATTTATGAGGATGCAAGTGAGACCACATATTTGCCCCACCTAAAAAAGTGATATCATATTTTCATCATATGTTTACTATTTTTTAATATATAATATATAATTATATAATTATATACATACACCTTTGTCAATTTTAAATCGTAATTAATATAAGCTAATTTGATTGCATATTTAATGGATCTATGCAACTTAATTGTAATCTCACAGTCTTTTTGGAGAAATCAAAATGATTTGATAGCGTTATGTTTTAAAGCCAAAAAACAAAAAACAAAAGAAACTGAAGAATTTCAATTATATTAAGAAGTCCAAATTAATGTTTTTTATTTTTAAAATATTTTAAAACCTTGCAGATTTATAACTTCAAAAGATTAAAATTGATAAAAGACCTTTCCTCTCTTTATAATTATTGATTCTCTCATTTATTTATTTCTTACGTCACAGTGAAAGTTATATTTTTTTTAACATAATGTCAATTATATTTTGGATACATGAACAAATCACTCCTAAACTTTATGTCAAATAGCACCGTAAATCTTAAACTTATTTATTATATAAATTATTTTTTTAATTTTTGAAATCAATGCAATCCAGCTTTTGTCAATAACAAAGTTAATTTTAATTATTTGTTGACTATAAAATGATAAAATACTAAAATTATAAAAAAGTGTTAAAAAATTACATTAAAGGACCCCACAATTACAAATAAGGATCCAGAAAATTGTGAAAAAGGACCAAAAAATTTTTAGTCCTTTTTTGATCAATTATGTTAAAAATTAACTTTTATTAATGACAGTGTCAGATTAAACTATTTCCAAAAATTTAAGAAATAATTTACTCATTAAATGAGTTCTAGATTTGTAATGTTATTGAACACGAAGTTTAAAAAAAATTATTTACCCTTATATTTATCATAATCTCAAATCCTTGATCATATTATTTATAAGGGAAGAAAAATAAAACTAAAGAAGGCATAAGACTTATTAAAGATATATGAAGATCTCCAAAATTGAAGTTCCTGTGAAATTGTAAAAGCTACAAATTGTAAAACTATGCTTATCAATATTATCACTCATAATTTCAATATATTATAAACTAAAAACGTTTTCGTAAATTTTGGAAAATAAATAACAAGTTCTCGAAAAACTAATATTGTAAACTAATAGTCCCTCCATCTCAAATAAATCATCATATTGAAAAAAACTTTTAGGTGGGTTTGAAATGATGGCTATATCTTTAGAATTGCAATAAAATATTAACTACTTTTGTATATTTACAATTCATTAATAAGTCAATGTAAAATAGGGTCAAATTTAAAATACAAAGTCAAAGGTATTATAGTTTATTATCATTAGATTTTCACAACGATTTGAGCTATTTAATAACGATATATAATTTAAAACCGAGAAGCATTTTAGAAAAGAATCGTAACTTAGAAAATTTCAATGTTAATTTTATTATTTGTAAAATGTAAATTTTTTATTCTTAAAATACATCAATCAAATAATCCCTGAGATCATCAACGTTAATATAAAAAAAATAAAATTTACAACAAACAATCTTTTGGAACCTATGGATAATTTTGTTAACACAAGGTCATGAAAAACCACGAAAAATTAGGTCAAGTCAAGTCATATAAAGTTAGGACATTCTTGTAAAGGGTTGTCAAAATAACCTATGAATAACTAAAGTTGGAGTATTCACTAAGAGATATGACTGTTTTCAATAAAAGGATAATTATATATAATAAAATAATAAAATAATAAGAGATATGACTGTTTTCAATAGAAGGATGACTATAAATAATAAAATAATATTTATTAATATAAACTAGTATGTCACCCATGCAATTAACATTATTAACATTATTTTACCTAAGTAAAAACATATATGTACCTTTGAGATACAAGGATATTTTTATAATTCTTAATTGAATTATGGTAGTGGTATTTATTAAGTATAATTAACTTTGAAATTTTTATTTTTAAAAAAATCAAATTATTTTAGCAAAACAAATAAATTAAATTTTTTTAAAAAAATTTAACTACAATGCTAAATTAATTAGTTTAATTAAATAATGATATGAAAACTAAAGTATACATCTTTCTCATTTGAGAGATCTTTCTAGTTTGGGAAAATATATATTTCGATTCACACACTTTGCTTATATTTTGTATCAATCTCTATACTTTTTTTGTATTTTGAGTCCCTACATTTTTATTTTTTGATATTTTACGTTCATTCAAGGTCTTTACATTTTGTTCAATTTGTTTATTTTATTCATTTAGGGATCTAAAATATCAAAAAATAAAACTGAAGGGACTTAAAATATCGAAAAAAGTACAAGGACCTATTACAAAACACAAGCAAAGTGTAGGGATCAAAAAGTATGTTTTTTTTTTAGTTTTCTCAATTTTTTAAGTATAAATTAAAGAACAAAATATGCATCTAATAAGTTGATCTAAATTAAAAAGTCTTATATATACCCTTATCTTAAAACAAAGCTATACGCTAACACCAGTTTAACAATAGACTATATAGAGCTTTTCGCGTAAACCTTGAAATTATCAGCTACATAAGCATGGATTTCTAGAAAACTATAGCATGGTGAATCGTTAGATGAATTACAATAGAAACATTTCAGACAGATGATCGCATCTATTAATCTTTGTATACTTAATTGCATGAAAAATTAAATGATATACAAACTTAAGATTTCCAAATAATTCTAAGATCTTTGGAGCTAGTTGAAGTAGTGAAAAAACTTGATATTTCAAGTATAAATTGATCTTTTACCAGATCGACCAAATTTAAAAATTATTTAAAGGGCAAAAACTGTAAGTAGCTTTTCATTTTTCAATGTTTAAGAAAATAGAGATGCTTCAATTATATTTGTTAGTTATGAATTATAGTTAGTAAAAGAAAAAACATTATGAATCATACATTAAACTTTCATAATAAAATTTATACCCTTGACTCTATATTTGATGAAATTCTCATTCTTGGAAAATTCCACATTTGTTTACATCTCGTAAGCATGAACATTTGGTGTGCTTTCACTTTACCTGAATCTTTGAGCTTGACACTGTTTGCTAAAACCAAAATAAATAAAAATGACTATTAGAATAGATAATTTTTTATTGTTTAATTGAAATAAATATAATATATAAATATTTTTTATTATTTAATTGAAATTTGTTAAATGTAGGCTTCAATCCATCTAAAATTACCTTGTTCGGCTGCACAAACTTCAATCCTCAACACTATTTTCTCAACATCAAAATCAGAACTAATCTTCAACCTCTATTTCTACCAGCAATTTCTCAAGCTCTTGCAATAGGCATCCTGGATAATGATAGATGGAAACAAAAGAAAATTATTCCAAAAGGCAAGAAAAGAGGGGGGAAAATAAAAACATACAAGACACGTGGAAAAGGAAATAGGAGAAAGAGACATGAATTG